ATTCCGGCCCTGGTCCTAGCTGTGTACCTGGCCACAAAGCGGACAACAGCACATTAGTAAAAACACATCAGTAAATAAATAAATAAGAAATCAACTTAAAGTTGAAGTCTTTCCGATGTAGGCCTAAGTGAAATGGCCGTAGGGCCTCCAGGTTGCGGTGACGCGACCTGGGGGCCCTTATCCAACCTCGGGTCCCGTGAGGGGCCCGTGTGGAGGCTCTCAGCATGTAACAGAGGACCTCGAAATTAGGCCGGCGAGAGTGAATGGCCTTCCATGATTCAGACCCCAAATTCGAGTTTCAGGGTCAAGGTCTCAGGCCAAGACGGTCAGTTTCAGAGAAGTCACAGTCGGGTACCATAGGAAGTCCAACAGGCACCCGGTGAACAGTCACATCCCAGGGGCAAAGGTTGTGTTCTTTAAGCAAAAGTCACGTCTCATAATGAAAAGTCATATTGAAAAGTCACATCCCATGGGCAAAGGACACTTCCCCAGGCAAAAGTAGTGTCCCAGAGGCAGGAGTCACAACCCACAGTCAAAAGTCATGTTCCACAAATGAAAAGTCGACTCACAGGCCCAAGCAGCAGCACACCAATGAAAATTCGGGAAAAGTAGCAGGACCTGACATTCTGAAGCAAATAGGCCATGGGGATGTGGTACCAGAACCAAGTTAAGCCCCAAGAAGCAGAGGCTGGGACGAGTTGAAGCTCAGTCCAAGACAATATAAGGACTGGCCAGCCTCCTCATTCGGCAGATTGCTCATTCGCATGAAGTGTGGAAGTGCTGGTGCACTTGTGCGCTATTGTGAGGGGCGGAGCGCTGAGCCAGGGAGCTGCGCTGTAGAAGGAGAGAGAGGGAGCAGCCATAGCTGCCCCGGCGCTGGCAGAGGGAAGGCAGCCATAGCTGCGCCGGTGTTTAGTAGTTAGTAGTAGAACTTAGAGGGGTTAGTAGAATCAGCAGTGGGTGTATTCAGAGTTGGTCCTTGAGTATTAGAAGGTGTGAGTGCATGCAAGTAGGGAGAGAAGACACAGGGAGGTAGTAGACAGAGAGAAGACGGAGAGAGAAGAGGGAAGAGCATTGGGAGAGATACTTACCTGAATGTAGATACTGGTTACTTGGGTTTGCGCTGTTTAGCGCTTGTGACTGGAACTCTTAGTTGCTCATATGATAATTTGTTGGAACTTTAGAGCTGCGCGTACCTGGTCTTTGTCTCTCTAGCCTCCAGTGTAAAAGGGCCTTTACCCGAAATAGGCCTCAGGCCTTGTAAAAGTAACGCAGCACAGACCTTGTAAGAGTAAAGCATTGTGAAAAGGTATCTCGCCAGGGCTCAGAAACGTGAAAGCAGGTCAAAAGTCAAGTTCTCTATCAACAGGCACCTCTAAGTCTAAGGCAAAGGGCATTGTCAAAAGACTTACCTGTTCACCAGGAGATGTGTATGTCATGTCTGTTCGGGTAAGAGTGTGTCTGTATGTGCAGGCAGTGTACCTGTTCGTGCAAAGTAAATGTGTCTGTTCGTTGAGAGTTGTGCCTGTCCGAAAGTAAAGTCAATAGGCACAGTCCCAGTTCTGGCTTAAGTCAAAGGGTCAGTCCAGATCCAGACTTTCAAGTCCAAATA